CAACAGCAACAGCAACAGCAACAGCAACAGCAACAGCAACAGCAACAGCAACAACAACAACAACAACACCACACCACAAATTCGTCTACGCAACTCTCATCATATCTCACTTTCAGTATCTGTCAACCCACTTTGGAACCAAGGTCGACTCCACTTGCCGCAACGCCTCATCACCTGCACTTGGGGTTAATCCTGCATCCACCACCATTCTGGTTTACACCCTACTTCATTGACAAACCAGCAGTGTCCACGCAATTGACAAACCATATGTTGGAACATGCGGTGTCCATTCCACTCATGTCCACTCTCCGCATTTGGCGGCAAAAGGAAGCACAAAGCCTCATTTGATACCACCTCTCTGGTCCTGTTTTCCAGCGATCCGGCAAGCCATCCGGCCATCCGCAGTTGAATAGGGAGAACCCCAACCAGATTCTTGGTCTATTTCCCTTCTTCCAGCGGATGATAATTGGGAGGTCTCTCCGTTTTAATACACAACCTGAAGATGAAGAGCGACATCCCACCTAAATCCCACCCATCCATCTGAGCGACATCCCTCCGGCGTCCACGTTCGAGTGGTTCGGCTTCAACGCCATGCCCGCGGTCGGCCTGTGTCACAGTCCCGGGCGCCGAGGTGCAACATCGGTGCAGCTCGGAGCTCGGTGTGGCGCTCGGAGCTCGGTGGACGAATTGGAAAACGCAGCGGTCCGGGCGTGTTCCTGGTCAAGGTGTGACTGATGTGGGCCCTTTCTTTGCATCGCAGTCCTACCATGTCGCCACAGATGAACGGAACATATGATGAGAACCCTTCCCCTTGGTTTCCTCCCCGGTGGAACGTGAACCCCCAATGGACGACCGGCTTCGCTTCGTGCCGTGCGTTTGCAGCTGGGCAACTGGGCAAATCGGTTGACCTTTTCGAACGAATTGAGGCCTTTTCGCCCAAGACTGCTTCTAGTAGCGTCCTCTTGTTCCTAGTAGTAAGGCCAGGAGCGCCCCTGGTAGCGTCCTTGCTCCTAGTAGCGATGTCCTTTGTTAATAGCAGCTTCTTGTTCCTGAAGAGTTAGTCTTTCTAAAGCCAATTGGTCTTTACTGCCAATCGGCAGTGGTCTTTCTTTTGGAAGAACCAAAGCCTTCCACCAAAACCACATGGGGTTTTGCACGGTTCTGCTGTAATTCTGTGTAAATTGTGTTTTGTTGAGGGTGTCATCAAGACTGAGGTGTCAACTCGGGTGCTCCCCTAGAAGTTAGTAGTTAGTAGATCTGTCATCTGTCATGAATCCCAATTCCGAGTGATTGTTAAAAGGATTTACAGTGGGCCCTTCACATAGAGAAGTTCATACTCCAACATCTCAACTCCGTTGTGACCAATTTTCACAACAGGTACAATCAGACCAACAAGAAGGACCCCGTCTCCCGTCACCTTCGTTCCGCGAGAACTCCCGAGTTCCCAGGCGTAACGAAGCATCGGGGCGGCTGCTTCGGGTAGGGTGGATCGAAGTAGATGGTCACCTCGAAAATCGAACGTCGAAGCGGAACACGGCGGCGCCAAGTAGATCGGACGCCCAGAAAGAGGGTTCGTTTCAGGAGACTCCGAAAGATGCAGAGTTCCAAGATTGTCCCGGGGATTTCTCAGAATGTCCCTGGGATATGCACACTCCTTGCAGGGAGATTCTCCTTCCGATAGGTGAAACTCTATACTCTCTTCGCCTCAAGTCTCGCAATGGAGTAATCATGTAATCAGTAGATCCGGCCTTCGCAGTCCACGATTTTTCACTGGCTTTCGAAATGCTCGGTCAGAGTTGAACTGATCAAAGCATATCAAAGCCCAGGCCGTGCGAAGTCGGCTCAACGGTTGGGCCGGTTCTTGTCCCAGGAACTGGGATGTTGTAGGTGTTGCCATGGTAGGAGATAGGCAGAACCTGACAAGCGTCCGAAGCGAGGCGACAAATACTGATGCCAGCAGTTGCAGTAGCAAACCATCACAAGAGTTGTAGCACTGCTAGAAATATAGTGACTATATATATATATAATAGTGGATGTCCCTTTCAATGTTGTGGCACCTAGCATACTAGCGGTCGGTGTAGTGCTTGCAGTGCTTGCGGCTGCTAGCAGCGGTTGTGGCACTCGGCTAGCGATCCTCGCATGAAATTGTCAACATCTGCATGGTGACAGAGAGGTGAGAAGCTGTTAGGAATTCTAATTAAACTATTCTTGTTACTACTAGTAAGGCACTTGTTTCTAGTAGCGTGGCACTTGTTCCTAGTAGCGTGGCTCTTGTTACAAATTTGCAGATGGAAAAGTCCACCCTGTCCGGTTCCATAGGAGGACAAACGACGCCACGAAGCTCGAAACGAGTAACCTCTTGAACAATTCTTCCACCTGACCCTTTGATGGACCTTTGTGATCTCATTCTGGGATCTCAGCCTGCAAGTCACTTTGAAGAACCTGCTTGACCATGCTTGACCGTTTCTCTGAACCCGTTCTCAGGTCTCCAAAACACGGTCTCGTCTGACCAGGCTTCCCTGCTCCATAGAGGTAGAAGAGCGTGACCTCCGTTTTTCTTTCGGACCCGAACAGACACGAACAGACAGACCCGTCGGAGCGTGAAGAATGTCCATCTGGTCGGTGGGAAGAAGTCCTGAAGTCCTGAAGTTGTCTGAAATCGGTGACCGCCGTTTCAACTGGAGTTTTGGGCTTCTGTTTCAGTTGGGGGTGGAGTTCAGGGTCATTCTACACGTGTTGTCTCTGTTTCTTCGATTTTTCGATCACCCAAACAAAAGGGTCCACCCTTCCTCCGCTGCTGCTGTAGGTTTGACCTACACCTCACAGTTTGCCAGCTCAACACTCACTCCAACTGAGCTTTCCCATACAGTCTTGGAATACGTTGGAGATTCCTGATTCCTGCAATGTTTCGAGATCTGTTAAGTCTCTTGCATGCGTAACCCCTTCAGTTTGCCACAAAAGGCGTTTGCATCGTCCCGTCGACTTCAAAACGCGGAAATCCTTCGCACCAACCTTTTTCTCCTTCGCACCGCGTGCCGTCCATCGGTGGCGTGACGCGGAAAGGCACTGCGCTGGGCGGAGAACGGACGTCATCGTAGAACTCCGGAAGGGCCCCACCTCGGCCGAGCGGTTCGTCTCGGTATGGCCGAGTAAGCGACGCCTGGAACGAAGGGAACATCGCCTAGGCACCTGAGGTGCAGGTTCTACACGAGAATTGATAATGAGTCCAACGCGCTTATGAATGTGTGAAATGCTCCGTTTGCACTTGGATTTGTCTTAGCCCACTTAAGGTAGCCAGTGTATTCCACACATTGACGAACCGTGGGAAGATGATGCAAGTACCATACCAGTGGTTGCAGGACTCTCCTGCCAAGTCAGCCGCAAAAGAACCGGGTCCAGTACGCTGAAACCTGGCAGCCCACCAACTTCATGACTATCATAGGGCATCCGAAAAAAATAGAAAAGCTTTGGAACAACAACTACTCTTGACAAGTGTCAAGTCAACCGTGTGCCATGCGCTATCTGGCAACTCTGCTATAAGCAAGGGGTTCATGGTTCATCTCGTCAGGGTCGGTATGTAAAGAGTAAATCGCCCGAAGGAGGGGCATCCCATGCTAGTCAGATCTAGTCGGGTCTTTTCTGATCCTGTGTGGATCATCACAGCATTCAATCTGGAGAAATTCTTGTCTAGCTGTCTAGCAACCTGAGATATCAGAGATATCCAACTCCTTTGTAGCGTCTCTACCTGTTATATAGAGTCATCCGCCATTCGAGCTTGTTACCTCTTGTCGTCTGGGCAAAAAAAGAAAAACTGTCCCAAGTCCCCACGGTGGATCTCCAAGTGTCCCTGAGGTGATCGGACACTTCCCCCCGAGACCGAAATCCGATCACACCGTCCGTCGGGGTCCGTCGGGTCGTGATCTGGGTCGGTCGGTCGGGGGAAGTGTCACACCGAAAATCGAGAAGTGCCTGAAGGCAGTGCCACTGAATGGTGAATCAGCCCCCCAAGGTTCCCCCAAGAATGTGCCTTTCTCCCCCGGATCAAGCATGGAACGCCCACAAGGCGAGCACTTCTTGACTTGGCTCGGGTTGATCCACCACCCATCTAACTGGAGACCTGTAGCCTGTAGCAACCACGAGATGGACTTGCCCCTTTGTTCAACATCTGAGCTGCGTGGTCATCCGAGCGCCCTTGGATTTGGTGACTCATGAACATGAATTACAATTGTCATGCCATCTTATGCTTTTCGCTAATGCATCGCAGCCGCAAAAGATCGCAAAAGTTATGTGTAACTTCCAAACCCCCTCCTGATGTGGTACTGTCAAGGAACAAGCCCCAGGCATACCACACGCCACGCGCCAGCAGGTACACCACGAAGACTGCCCAGATTTGCCTCAAGGGACATTACCACATCAGCGATGTTCTCTTGTGGATGCGAGCCACGGTCGGCTCTTGCAGATGTAGATCCAAATGAACAGAATAATCAACTTTGGGGGTTGGGACTTGTCATCTGCATTTTCACCCATTTCTCTTTGCATCTATGGGTGGAAGCCTTGTTTCTACTCCAAAAAAAAGACGGGCTGTGCACGGATGAGGTGTGCTGTCCCAGGCTGACACAGGCCGCACGCCCCCGATCCGATCTCGGTGGCAAAACGTGCCGTTCGAGTCGCGTTGCGAAAGGCTCCGTTCGCTCCGTAAGGCCACGTCCGCCCCGTTCGGTTCGCGTCGGCCCCCAAAAGATCCCAAAAGCACCGAAATGCGACATGGCTCTTCCAATACGCCACATTGACACAAGTTGTTTGGGGCTCTTGCCGATACCGTTGTTGTGGTCCTCCTGGAGTAGTATTTGAAATATTCTACTACTAATGACTGTTCCTCACAGGGATGCAGAAGTGCGTCAACCAAACGCGCTCAAACCAGTCCTCAGAAGTCCAACCCAACGTCGGTCCGAGCCACGGTAGCTCGGCACTGCTGGGAAGCACGTGAAAGGTCAAGCCTCGGAGAGGGTCCAGAGAAGCCCAAGAAATCGTTGGGTTCACAAAAAGATTTCTTTGGGTGCGTTGTTTTTGTTCAAACATGAAAAGGAACTGCCAAGAAATAGTTGAACTGAGAAACCCAAGAAATAGTTGCAGTTCACCAGTTTTTCTGTTTTCTTCAAACATGTGAACCATTGAGATCTTGTGGCCATGGAAAAGGAAGGGACAGATTCACAACAGATGCCCTAGTAACAAGAAGCTACTAGGGGCTGGCATCGCTACTAGGAGCAAGGACGCTACTAGGGACTCCTGGCCGTACTACTAAGAGCAAGTAGCTACTAGTAACAAGAAGCTAAGATCCGGCACAACAGGATGCCCAAGATCCGCCCTCGTCTCCTTGCGACTCTTCCCCAGTGGTCAACATCTGGGAGGTCGACCCATGTCAGCCCCTCTTCCGTCGACGCGGTTGGAGAGACGGGGATTCCTGGTTTGTGTTTTGTTCCGGCAGGTCTTCATTTGAAGGACCCATTCACCCCATGTTGGGGGCATCAAGCCTCAAGCCGGTGCCCTCTGGACAATCTGACTGCGGGATATGTTCGTTCTACATGGTGATAATGGGTGATGAGGCATAGCATATGATGCTTGAAAGCCCACGTGCTTGTTCTGCTTACTTTCAGGGAGACTACCTGAAAGGATAGAACCCTATGGAGAAAGACCCAACGATTGAAGAACAATGCCAATATCTTCCTACATGTCTCGGGTCATGTACCCTCCTCATTCTATGCAGTAGCCGGCTTTAGCAAGTTGAGAGATTTAGCCTGTTCTAGGCCTCGCCAGGCGTCTTTGTCTCAGACCCAAGTGACCCACCAAGGAGGTCAAGAGAAACAAACCTCAGGCGTTTCGACTCATGCGGACCTCCCAAGAACTGAGGAAACCCGAACTATCGATGATCCAATCTCATGTTGAACGAATGTGGAGCTCCCCTTGACCGGCCAAAAACATGGCCAAAAGCGGGGCAGAGTGCCAGTTCCCAGAGGTCGCAGCGACCCAAGGGGTTGTGACCAGGTCACACCTTTCGGGAACGACAGCGAGACTCGACGCCCCACACGGGCGAAGACTCGACGCCCGTTCCACACGAGACTCACAAAGACCTCCATCAAGTCGTTGCATCGTTGAGCAAAAAATCTTCCACTAGCCAGTTTGACTGGGGTCACACCCAAGTTACCTTCGAGCCACCAAAATCAAAGGTCCGCAAAACCCCACTGTTGACCATTTCTAAACACATGTTAAGAGTATCTGTGGCACAAACAGAACGGTATTCTTGACGGACGCGGGATAATGGAACTAAGCCTTGCAGGTGGCACTGGGAATGCCCCCATCGAATGTCATCCAAAAGCGGCCCCTTTGTAGAAGAAAATGGTCGAAAGAGAAGTTCCTGAAGTTCTATATATAGATTTGTTCAGAAACTAGGGGTTGCAAAATAACGCTATATCACTGCAGTCATCCACCGTAGAGTTGGGGTCGGCTTTCGGAACAAGTCAGCACATTAAAGTATGATCATGGCTGCATAGAAGGGTAAGCTCTGGCCGGCCCAGAATGCGGAGTCACTTCAAGCAAACACATGGCATCCCACCCGCTGAAATTACAGTAATAAGTGTCAGTGTGAACCAGTGCTTTGGGTGAAAGGCATGGGGGCCTTTGGGGGAGTCAATCGAAACGAAGGACCTCGCCAACAGCCAAAACAGCCAACTCGCCCAGAAACAAACCACAGCATCGTCACGAACATAAAAACTTCCCGCCCGCTCTCCCTGCGTCGAGACGAGCATCGTCTCGAAAGCCAGCGTTGTCGTTGTGCGGCAATGTGGGCGCCCTCCATGCAAAAGGTGAAGGGAGTCATCAGGATTCCGCCTGCATGGGTGATATGAACAACTGCAAAGGGATTGGGATACACGACACGTAAACAACGTGGAATGTCCAAGGGTAGCCCCCGAAACCTGCAACGAACCCAACAGCTTGGGGGCCAAGAGCAACATGTAGAGCGTAGACCTCAACTTCTTAGCTCAGCCTCTGCTAGCTCCAACTAGCGACGTTTGCGAGCTTCAATGCAACCAAGTCACATGTCAAGGAGACCTGCAGTGGGGCTCACAGACTCAACCCCGCCACCCGCTGGCAACCACAAACGTGTGGGCCGTAGGCCCCAAACTCAAAGCCGTGCTCAACGCTACTACTGCTCGGCAAGGTCATTGCTTGGCTAGTCAGCCAAAACGCCCTGCTGCACACATCAAAGGTTGGCTACTCCAGGGTTGTTTGCCATTTGCAAGCTGCGCACACAAGACATGGCCAACCTGAAGAGAATCCAGTCTTGAAGCTCATTGAGACTGTGATTATCCATCGCAGGAAGCCGCAACAAGGAGCAGCATTACTGTACTCGCGACAAAAGGGTGCCCAGGAGGCCATGAGTAGGTTCTGCCATATATGGATACAGGTTCGACTGACTTTTGTGTATCGTGTATTAATATATATATTTATATACTATTCAGACTGGAGACCAAGCTGTGGAGTTCTTGCGGCACTGATGTGTGAACAGAGATTCTGCAGTATCTAGGCACAGGAGAGCTCTGAAGAATCTTAGGAGAGTTGGAGCAGGGGATATTCTTGCTTCTTAGTAGTCGAGTGAGCCAAGCTCGGTACTACCCCAGGTAAACGCCAGGATGTTCTTCCTGTCCATCCCACATGATCCCCGCGCACGCGCGGCAGCTAGAAAAGCACCACACCCGTGTGGAAGCCGGTCCAGACACACCAGTCCCTGGTGCAGGAGATACAGCTCCAAACAGGGCGAAACTTCTTGGACATCCCCTCTCCTGCCATTCCGTAACACACACACACCCAAGTGGACCATCAATAGGATCGTATTGTGTCATCCATCTGACAAGAGGGTGCAACGGTCTTCGAAGACGATTCACCTCTCAAATGCGGAAGACCAGGGGTCTCGAATGTGGAAGATGTTGTCACAGCGAGCGGAAGAGGGTCCAATTCTTCTGACCAAACATGACCAAATCGATCTTTCTGGTTTCCTGATTCACCGCTCCCTTCACTCACGCATTCGCAGGGGCACGATGGGCACCGCAGACAAGACCGCGTCATCTTCGCAGAAAAGCCGCAGACCTGGACGATACTGTGAGACTGTGAGCCCATGAAAGCTTGCCATAGTCGGTAAAAACTGACATCTGTTCATGGTGTTTGTCACCAACATCATCCCATAGTTTGTTTTTTTCCTGTGCATTATTCATGTTTGCTCATGCCAAAATAATGACTCATGACGTAGGTTTGGAGCTCGTCTACCCATGTTCTCATCTACACACCAAAATGGGAAAATTAACTGTCCCTGACATACTTGTGACTTTGCCGGTACCTGGATTCCAGCAACCGCTCTCAACCGCTAAATCGCTAAACGTTCGCAGGGGGCGAAGTAATGAAAGTTACTTATCTCTACCAAGGTGAAGGTTTTCTTTTCCGCCTATCTCGTTCAACCACATTGCAAGAGAAACAGTTCACCTGGCTTCTTTCGAAAACATCGGACTTTGGGGATTCAGAACATCTGTGATCACATCGACATGCTGCCAAAGAAGCATCAAATCCCTCTTCAGGCAGTGCGGACCCTACCGTACCTGCCCCATCCTACCCATCCTGCCTCCCCGAGAGGTCATCACACAAAGCAAGGACACGGTGCCAATGGCGCCCAAACCGGCCAGTTTCAGGAGCCTCCCGCGGAGGCCGACCAACGGAAGCGTTCCTCCCGGAAGTGAAGCGAAAGGAGACTGAAGGGTTCTACCACTTCTTTTAATTGGAGAAGCTCTACCCAGGTCTCCTCTAATATGGAGATGAGATACCCAGTCCAATGGACATCGCCAATCCGGCACGACGTTCCAAGCACGGTCTGCCCTTTTTGCATGATTGAGAATTGCTCGACATGCACTGCTTTTGGTCAATTTCAGATGAGGCTTTTGGTTTATAACCATATGTTGCTTAGGCAAGTCTCCAGGGGAGCTATAGCCCAGTGGGCCAGGAGGGTATCCCTATTCCAACACACACATCTCTCAGACGGGCTCAATCAGCCCTAAGGGAAAAGATGTTGCATCGTTGAAGAGCAGGAAACCGCGGGAATAACAAACATCTGCGCAAACAGGTTGTCACAAGCGCCATGCCAGGGAGCCAGAAGTCAACAGAATCAGGCGGGTTGGGTCAAACATGAATCCTTTATATTATACATATTTAGGAACAAGAAGCTACTAGGGTGGAGGCCATCGCTACTAGTAACAAGGACGCTACTAGATGACTGCTGTTAATTTGGACCCATGGCCACCGAGAGTCACCAAGAGCGGAAATGACCTGAGGGCTCTCTGCAACCTGGGGCGTGTGACGTGCGCTTGCGCGGCGATCTCTGGCAAGGCACAGTCGAAGCGTCTGGTCTGCTCCGCTGTGGTCCTTCTCTTGCATGAAACTGGGCAAGAAGGCCTCGTGAGAGCAGGGAAAACCCTCGGCTGTCGGGTTCACGGATCATTCCAGGGTGGTGCCCATTCTCAGAATTTGTTTGGGTAGTGTCCTGATCTTAGATTTTTTAATGAACCTGGCAAGAAGAGAAACGATGGTAGATTGTAGATTTCCCTGGAAAAGGATGCAAAACCCAGGGGTCGTGTCGACTCCCAACTGGTCATGTCACTCAGAGCTCCACAGCCCGCAGGTAGAGGCTTTCGGGGTGACCAGGTGATCCTGTTCACACACACTGTCCTGAAAATCTGCCAGAAGCGCTCTATTTGAGCACGGATCGCGGCGCAGGAACGCGGCACCTGCGCAGTGGAGGATAAAGACTCGGAGGCCAAGAGCCCGAAGACCCAGAAGAGGGACCTCGGGCAGCTGCATCACGGCTGCATCGCGGCGCGGTCGTTGTTCGTCGCGGTCGTTGCATGTCGTTGCCAGGAATTGGTCACATGGTCCACGAGAGCGGAGCGGTTGGTGGTGGTGAGCCCATCAAAAGGTTGAAAAAGAAAAACAAGATGGAGCCCACGAACCCGAATGCAAACACGTTCGAAATTCTACATATGTCCAAATTACACTCTTGTGGGACACTCTTGTGGGACACTCTTGTGGGACACTCTTGTAGGACACTCTTGTGGGTACTCTTATTTTGGGACACTCTTGATACCACCAATCATCCCGCTCACCAGCGACACGCCGCGTTTACACCAGCATGTTTCGCGCTCCCCAGTGGCACGGCGCCACGCAAACACACTTCCCACCAAGGCCTCGCAAATCCCAATGACACTGCAACATCACGAACGTAATTTCCCAATGTCACAGCGACATTCACCTCTACCACAACTCACAACCTCACGATTCCCTGCGCCTGCCACGAATCTTTCCGCGTCCACACGTCTAACGCGCTGCGCCTGCCACGAAATGTCACCTCCGTCAAACCTCGCAACCTCACGATTCCCTGCGCCTGCCACGAAAATCGCACTTCCACACCTCAAAACCCGCACAAAGTACTGCGCCCGCCACGAAAAGTGACCACATCATATCATGTGAGCTTCAACAAAATTTGCACCACACCACACGTTTGGAATGATTTCGACCCGTTCTGAGCACACTCCCATCCACCAAAATCACCATTTCAGCTGAGACTTGTCACGAGGCCAGAGCTTCGATGCCACACCCTGAAACGCAAACCCCAATGGCACGGCCACATCCAACACTCCAAAAACACGACTCTCCAAACGCTAATCCCAATGGAACTGCGCAGAAAACTGCGGATCTCACAAAACGCTGCGCCTGCGCAGTGAGCTCCACCTCCACACTTCGACATCTTACATTTCCAGACGTTTCCACGCTATTTCACACGAATCTGATACGTCACCTTTTCATCGGAAACCCTCTCCAAAAGCTTCCCCAATCGCAGCGCCTTAGCGCTCGCTCTACTGCGGACGGTTGCGGACGGTTGCGAACGGTTGCGGACGGTTGCGGGCGCAGAAACAATGGGTCGCGAACAAGGCTCTACCCCCAAACCCCCAGAGTTAAACGAGAACCTTTCGCTACGCATTCGGGAAAACAAGTGGTGGAGATGGAAAAGGAGATTTACCTAATTCTCTTGAGGTGAAACTAAATACAAATCCAAGAGGTTCGGTATACAAATCTGTTACTGGTTTGCTGCAATCCCTCTGTATCGTTTGTAGGAACGGGGGCAATCTTGCTCGAGCTACGCTGGTTGAATGTGATTGTTGCTCTTTTTTACCCCAGGCCCCAGCCCCCGGCGGGAATCGCTTGAGATTACGTCCTTATACGCTTCACTTGCTTGAGAAACAAAGACTGAACGAACCGACCATGCCCTCATGTCCCCCTTGGCACGGACCAAGGCCACCCAGGTACTTCGTGATCTGATGCGCTGCTGCAGCCACCACACCCTGACGGGCGACTTGCATGCTGCCGACGTCATTTTCGTGGTGTGCAAATGGTCGGGATACCCGACCCAATTTTTTGGGCTGGGGCAACTGCTAACAAAGCACAAGAAATAAAACAATTTTGGTCAGAAAGTCGGGACTGACTAGTGGAACTCTGTGGAATTTGAAAGACCAGTCTACATGCAGGATCTCGCCTAATTTTGATTAACTGCTCTGATTTGTCCCAATTCCACCCCACGCATGTACAAACATGTACAAAGAAATTTTCTCTGCAAGCAATTTGTGTTTGGTTGTCTGTGGGGAGTGCAACCAAAAGTGCAACCAGAATTGTGGTTCATGCATATTTCAGGAAGAAACCCAAAGCGCATATTTGCTCCGTCTCGAACCCGTTGAAAACGGATTGCCAAGTGCCTTGGCGGAGGCTGCGATGCTCAGGAACTGCACTGAAGCCACCTGGTGATTCAAATGGCACTGCTTGCTTGAGTGACCGAATGACTGACTGAATGAAAGAATCAAAGAAACAAGCAACGAATGGCTGACTGACTGAAAGAACGAACGAACGAAGGACTGAATCAGTGAAGATTGATTGTATATTTGAAGACCAACATGAATGCGTGGAGCATTGATAAACACGAGCTGTCCATATGGTCCCACTGGCTTTTGGATTCTCTCATACTCAACCTACTTTAAGGATGTCTGGACACACATACATGTATATATATATATAGCGGGTAGGCTTACAGATTACAAGTACACGTACGGAAGATCTGATGAACAACGTACCAACGTATCTGAACCTCTCCACTTGTTAGCCCTTCTTTACCCGATGCTCATTCCTGGCAGGGAAAATACACAAGCATAAATGCAACGCCAAAACCACTTCCAAGGAAAACCGTTTCCAGGATAGGTCATACCACCAGGAATGTGGAAAACCTGATGAAGTGCCTAGCAGCTAAACCGGTCAAACTCGGTGACCTACTTGCCGGTGTTTCGGTGCTTACCTTCAACTTGAACCACTTTTTGTAGATCCCCACCAGCCTGGCACATGTGTCTGGAAGAGAGTATCAAACCTCAAGAAGAACATCTTGTTCCGCCAACTTTGATAGTTGATAGACACCCCTTCATGGCCAAGGGATGGTCCATGGACATGCCTGAAGGGTCTGGATTCGTCTTGCTCGAAAGACTCCACGTGCCAACGACCGTCGCCGTCCGATTTTTCCCATCTCCACCTTTAGAGCCAGCGTGAGACACACCGGCAAGGCAAAGATCAAGAAGTCGAGGGACTCCTGAAGCCGAAGTCGAATATAGAGAAGAGACACCCAGACAAGACAGCATTCCGAAGCAGGTCTTGTTGTGGAAGCCTCTGACGAGAAAAACTCAAGTTGTAAGATCCTTTCCGCAAGTCTCCATAGGAAGCTCATCTTGCGACATCTTCATCATCGAAGTACCATGCATTTCATCCCAAGCCCTCATCGAGTGCAGCCTAACTCAAAGCAATGCAATCCAACACACTAGTAAAGAAAAAAAAGGGGTGATCTCCAATGGGGAGCGATGTCTTCCTGGAAGCACTGGCAAAGGCAGACAAATCGGGAAAATGCTAGAAAGCACTGAGACATGGAGCGCCTTTCTTTGTCTTCGGCACCGTACTCTACCCGTTTGTACTTATTGGATTAGCTGCTGTCAGCTGACGAGATTCACAGAACCATCTATATGGGTCAATTGATCGCAATAACCCGAAACGGGAAACCCAAACAACTGTAGGAAATTCATCGAACACCCGAGTGTGTAACCTTGGACGTCTCGATGGGTTTGTCTTCGGACTCTTGGACAAACAACGGCTTCTGCTGCTTCTGCTGTCCGGAAGCTCGGTCTCCACCCAGCAACTTCACGGGTGATCGGTCCTCGCCCCCCCTAAAATGTCAGGCCCTGTCCTTGAAGGAGGGCACCGTGAAATTCTTCACCAAGCCCTTCCGTCCTTGGGCCGCTTGCCCCCTAAAACCGGGGGTCTCGGGTGTCCGGAAAAGAAGGTGCCTGGAGAAAGATGCAGAGGACATGGAGACGCAAAGACCATGGGGGAGCCTTCTGGTGCACTTTGAAGATCCCCTCAGCCCCAGCAAGCCCAAACACAGTTGATGGAAACGGTGAGCAGCAGAACCGACTCTCTCGAGCGGTGTTGGGCTGACAGAATGAAGCATTCTTGCTCTTACACACTGAACCCGAACCATACCTAATCCCCAAGCCTCCTTGCTCCTAGTAGTAAGGCCAGGAGCCCCTAGTAGCGTCCTTGCTCCTAGTAGTAAGGCCAGGAGCCCCTAGTAGCTTCTTGTTTCTAATAGCTTCTTGTTACTAGTCCTAATCCCCAGTGAACCATCAAATGGCAGGAAGCACATATGACGATGTCAAAGCTCCAGTCTTGGGTGTCTAGTCACATTGCAGTAGACGATGTGACGGACAGACTTCTCTCAAATCGTCAACCGATGTACGGACGGAGCGATCCTGTTCTTCCCCTAACCGATCCAACAAAAGTCTGAAGCGACATTCGGAACACCTCCAGTCTGCGTGGTTTCTGGGATGGTGGGATGCCATACTCCACATCGACCTCTTCTCCAGTTGGGCTGCTACCAGGTCCTTCAGCAACCCCAAAAAGACCAGCCGTGACCAGCCACTTCACAAGATCCTAGAGACCTTCCCCGACCTTTCGTGGCCAATGTGCCCTGCAGGCTACAGGCTCTTCAGGCGACCCCCGCCTTCCGCCACCCAACCGGCCACGGTGCGCACCGCCACGACCATGGCCAGTGTGGTCACCGCCTGCGCCAGCAGCGTGGTGATGGCCGCGCCAGCGATGCCCAGGCGGGGACAGACCATGGCGTCACCCAAACCGTTCAGCACTGACTGGAGGAAGACCACCTGAACAAGAAGAGAAGTTGCAAGAGAAGGGTCATGGTTTTGGGGGAACAAAACTGGGGTTCAGGGACCATTGTACTAACCGTGTGAAAGCTGGATCTAGCGGTCCTTCCTTTTGTTCCACCAACGCCTCAAAGCGGTACGCTGCACACTGCCAGTACGTACTCCCATCTGACTCGAAGAGGGGGGACGTGGTACATTTTGTGTTGGAAGACACACATGTCTCCAGGGACCTGCCAAATTCAGGCCAAGAGCCGCTTGAGGGACCTTCAACAACACTATCGTGCAAATACTTGAGAATTCTGAAGTATACAGTGAACGGAAAAGAATGGGCTTGGATTGGAAATGAGTGACCCCTGTCCCCGCCTTAGTTACAATTTGTGCCATCACACAGTGATGTTCCAAAAGATATAGAAAGCTTGAAAATGCTTGAAGAGCTTTCACCTGATCTCTCTTGAAGCCTTAGTCTACCGACTTCCAAGCCCCGTGGATCCAGCACCGTGAACTCGGAGGCGCTAACTTGGCTGGTAACTGGGTACTTCGACCTCTCTCCCCATGGTGATGTTTGAGAGGAATCCACTTCGATCCTTTTAATCTAGTTGTTTTCCACTGCTGGTGGACCGCGGAATTTCCGCCGAGCCACCAGCAGTCCGGTGCGCGAGTCGCGGATCGACAAGAGCCCGGCATTGGCCACACGGAACAAGGCGTCCAAGGGCAAACCCAGGGCACGGATCTTCACATAGCCTAAACGATGCCAGAGCACCAGCGATTCTACGAGTAGGAGTAGGTGTCAAGTCAACAGCACTCAAGTCAACAGGCCTCAATGAGGCCATATATGCATCGTGCTTTTGAAACTGTCACCTCCACCGGGGCCCAGGACCCAGTTTGACCAGGTTTTGTCAACCTAGTTGACTAGGTGATATGTCAACCGATGATTGCACTATGCGAATAATCAGTGTGTACGTGCGCACGTACACCTCAGTGGGAAGAGGAACTTACTGTATGCACCTTTACCGAAGGGCACATGGGGGCAACTTAGTCCACGGGGGTACTAGTCACACAGCAATCGGTGCCACGGCAAAGGCCTGTCAACATGGCGCACCATATAAACATCTTAGCAAATCTAGAACTACTGGGGATACGCCCACATTCCCTCAATTCCTCATTCCTGACTAAAGCCTCGCCAGGCCCCAAGCGGTGGTTTAGTGGAGGTTCCAAAAGTATGTCTGATTGGTGTTTTACCAAGAAATTTGAGAATCATATGCAGCAACAGTATACACCAGATGTTTACCCTTCCCTACTCTGTCCCTGAAAGCAACATTGACCGGTTCATTGGAAGCAACATGCCGCTCCAACCGGGTGGCTCGCAGCAAAGGGCACCACCGGACCACGGGCACCGCCTCAGCAGAGCGAAACAAATCGAGGGAAATCGTCGCGTCCGATCTCTCCGTTCGCAGCGATGCTGTTTGTTCCCTTCGTAGCGTCCTCTTGTTCCTCATAGTAAGGCCAGGAGCACCCCGTTCGTAGCGTCCTCTGGATAGTTAAATTAGGAGGAAGTGGATGTGTCTTAGTTCGTTGAGGGCCCCTGCAACTTGAGCTATAGAAGAGGGAAATCAACAACAACAGCGTCTTACTTTTGACAAAATACAGACCATGGATGTGGAGAAAGGCAACAAGAAGGAGAAAGTGAGAAAGTGTTTTTTAATTGGTTCAAAACAGGACACGGAGATGATGAGGACAATTAGGATCAGATATAGAGAACTAGAAGCGAAGCGAGACAACAGCCTGAGGGTAAACACCTCCTCACCACCTGCATCGACCAAGACTTGAAGAAAGGGCCTCCTCCATCTACGGCCTCAGCTGGCCTTCTCCCATTCTCCCATCAAAACACCTCTCAACGTGAGAACCCTCGGCGTCACCAACTCCGTCCTTCGGACAACCGAGGCGAGGCAACGGAAGCGAGGCAAAGGCCCCCAATCTCTATCTCTTGAACCACAGAACATGCGGAAAGCGTGGGATCTGTCGGACAGACCAGTTCAAGACTGACCAGTTCCATAGTTCCATACCGCACTGGCTCTCAACCCGACTTCTCTTCCCAGTGGCAAAGCTCCACGAGCAGTGGCGCCATGAGCATGCAGGGAACCGCTGTCATGGTGCCTCATCCGTGGCGCCAGGACGACCACGGCCGGCCGGTGGACCGGTCACATGCCACATGGAACGACCGCTGAACTCTACTCTTGGAATCAGTAGAAATGGCACTCTGATTCAAAGAACGTAAAGTGGATCAAAGAATGCTGTTGGGTTGGAGGCCATCGCTGTTAGAATTGCTTGTCAAGGATTAATGCGTTCATGTTCGATTTGGCATGATGTTTCACGATGGGTCAAATTGGACTATTTCTGGTTGATTCTCTGATTCTCTCAGCTCCACCGGTAGAATTAGCACGTGAAGGAACCGTTTTGGCAAATACACCACCTGTTCCTCATCCCGTTCAATCCAAAAGAAAACAGATTTTTTATGGTCATAATCCGGTCATATCTTGTCAGGAATTCAACAAATATCTTGAAAGTCCCGGATGGCCAAAATCTCAGTTGACAAAAACCAAACCTACCAGACTCACCTGACTCAACTTCCTTCCTGACTCACCCTGCTCACTCTTTCGCAGACTGCACCTACGCACCAGGCGATGAGCACGGAGCGTGAGAGCAGCTTCTGGCGTTGCTGTTGGCCGTGGGCGGTGACCAAGACGTTCAAAGTGCCGATGGAGATAAAGGATTGCCTCAGTCTCGAAGGAAACACCAACACTTTCCTGACTCACATCACTAGTAGGTTGGAGGCCATTGCTTTTACATAGCTTGGAATTGCTTGTCGAGGAGTGAAGCTTTCATGTCTGGTGGGTGGAGGAAACAGTCTTAATTGAAAAGAAGAGATGGTTCATCGGTTCATCCATCCTGCACCAGCGCCCTGTCACTCGGACAGGTGCCACCTGCAACGTGCCTGCCACCGTTTCATGCCAGGCCAGGTCTGGTTGAACATGTCGGTAAATGACTAGAAGGGCACGGAGGGGTCTGTTGCAGGTCAGGAAAGTTATTGGTTGAAGGCTGCTTTGAGGTGACAGTGCCGTTCTGTCTTCCCGACCCAAATCAGAGGATGATGAGTTGCCTCAGTCAAATGTCACCAGGAAAACGCGGAGTGTGATCGTTCGCCACTTTGGCCAACCCTGTCTCTCTCATCTTCCTAGGATGGATCACAACTTCAAAGCTGCTGCTCTTTAAGTTGTTTTTGTCTTGGATCAAAGGAGTCCGCATGTTTCAAGTAGTGAGTGTCCTAAAAATGGCGTATGGGCGTCTACCTTTCATGCCAGGTGGTGGAAGTTTTCTGAGTATGCCTTTCCTTGCTGGCACTTTGATGGGGTCGCGCAATATATCACAGCTACCATCAAAAATCGATGAAGATAGTCTAAGAAAGTACTGGAGCAAGGACAAGTTAAACATAATGTTAATAATGTTAAGGTTAAGCTTCAAAAATCGAGATGTGGTTTCCTCGCTTTGAAACAAGGACACCCTTCAGGAGGACACATCTTAGTCCGAAGACCAAATGTTTGCCGAAACAGCTCTGTCGCTGGCCCAAGGTGCAAGTAGGAGAGGCTATCCTGGCGATTTCCCAGTGTGCACCAACCGGTGAAGGCGGATGTAAGCTTTCCCGGGATGGAGCGAGGCTGTGCGAGTAGTTTTAACTGTCTTTGGACAGGTTGGGGTTCCCAATGTGATCGTCAAGCTGGATGTGGGATGCTTCGATCTGATGTTGCTGCTCCAACCACAACTATCGGCAAGATGGCAAGAGGGGTGACCCTTGGTTGTGACCCTTATGGCTTATGGAGGGAACAACCCCAATCCGTCACCCAGATGTTCGTTATGACTCGAAATGAACACCTGTGCACATACCTCCCGTCACGAAATCCACTTATTTTGGAACCTCCAGGAAAACCCAGAAAAGAATAACACCATACAACACCCTGCAAAAACCTCTGCCAAACATCCGAAGAACGCCTTGGAACACGCTTTCCAATTCTCTCCACGGCTCCAGAAAGCTGGTGCCCGGCGCCAGGGCGGCCAGCTGCACCGAGCCGCCGCAACGGCCCACGAAGGCGCTGTCGATCAAGCCTTGGAGCCTCGGGGGTCCGAGCGACGACGAACACCGCAACACCAACGGAGCGATCGGACGCGAACCGAACGGGGCCTGGCCTTACGACGAACGGAGCAAGAGGACGCTACGTTCGTAGCGTCCGATCGCTCCGTTCATTGCGATGCCCTTTGTTACTAGTAAAGCGAACGGACGCACCGCTTCGGTTTAGGCGAGAAAACGGGAGAAACTCCTGGTGAACCTGTCTCGGTGGTTGTGTGTGTTGTTTCATGAAATCGTTGATCGTCGTTGTAGGAAACACGGTCACATACTGTGCGTGAAAGAATAATGTGATTGTGGCTTGGTTCTGGCACTCTTCCATCAACGAAGCAAGTCTTTTTGCCACATTCTTAGAAGCCACAAGATTGCCCACACGTATCTTCCACTCAAGGGGCCTTCATCTCCTAAGAATAAACTCAGATGAAGGATTCCAGATGAATTCACCGACCGGAACTTGCGCTCTCATGCCAGAGCTGCTGGCGGCAGAGCAAATGCTTGGCATTTGGGTCCAAACTTCGCCCCGCACCCTTTGGAAGATTGCAGCTCAGGGGTAGATCGGACCGCTCACCCATAGCAAATGGGCCGGACTGTGACGGTTTGGACTTACTGCTCAGCATTTAGCATGTTCTACATTTTCTGGCGCTACCCCCATAGATTTACAGTATGCAGATTCCTGCACTTCCCCACGTGCATGTGCCCTAAGGACTGCCCTGCTTGGCTGCAGGTTTCCACAACCAAACAACACACACGGGATTTGCCCTTCGAACCACCGCAGTCGACCGCCACGTCAGTCGTACAGCACCAGAAACGTAGAGGCTAAGAAGGTCAGCATCACCGGCCAAACGAAAGTCAGCACCTCACACGTCTCACAGCAGTTGTCTACAAAAAACATCAGAGAATCCGACTGTTGCTTTGTATTTCTTCTGCAGAAGCAGCTCAAGAACGCCAGGTGAAGAAAAACGTTTTTACGCATGGAATCGATGGAGAAAGTCAATCCCGGACCCTCACTTCTGCCGTATCTACTGAAGGAGGGACAAAGAGCCCTAAAAGGGTCGGAGTTGAAGATCAATTACCACCCAGCCTGGATCCCCAAAGAAGTAGATCTCAAACACCTTGTTGAGTTGCCCTAAAACCCATTCCATGTCTAGATTTTAACACCCAAGAATAACATGCTCCAGAATGCCATAGACTCAATAGATCATATGATACCCAAACATGCAGGCATCAACCTGGAACCCCTTGGAGCTGCAAAGTCAGTGACCAGGCTACTAGCTTGAGTTTAACCCACAACCCGGCGCCTCCTTCACGCTGACCTTCTCTGTTCCTGTCCGCTCTGCCGCATGTCTCCTCGCCAACCCCCGTGGCACCGCCACGCGGACTCTGCCGCCAGCGCAAGCGGCGCAAGCGGCACAGGCGGCGCAAGCGGCTGCGGCCTCGCCCAGAAATGGTCGCGGCCGTGTTGGCCGCGGCCACCGATCTCCGTGGTCTGCGTGGCGCTGCGCCGTCGACACCGGCGTGGGCGTGGGCAACGCACGGTGCAGCCGAAACAGTGCCATGGCGAAGGCCCCCAAGCGTTGCAACTTGGAGAAGTTTGGGTTTGATGAGAAGTCTGGGTTCAGCATGAAGACTGCTCGAATAGAAAAGCAGTTAAAACTAGTGAGCGTTGACTCTGGACTGAGAAACGATTGGCAACTTCTCCTTGCAGTGGTCCACGCTATAGCATCTGGGTGCAAACATGTCAGCGTTCGTTTGCATAGACTGGTTGTCCCCAAAGAGATGTAGAACGGTTCCAAACATCCTCATTGGGATGCAGTTTTCTATCTGTTTTTGGGTCACTATAGAGAGATGGGTAGGGAAGGGACTCAAGAGGGCCCTGAAGACTCCTTGATCAACAACATTCAAGAGCATATTCAGCTCCATCAGCTAAAGGTAGTAGCTAGTGACTTTGAGTGCCGGATCCAGTGGACCCTAATGCACCATGAATGATGCAACAGCATTCTCAACTGTTGCTGAAGATTTGTTGAACTGTCTCGTTGCAGCCCCCCAAACGACCAGAACGTGGTATCTCTTGCAACCAAGCGGGGACCGACGGAACGACCCACATGTCTCTGTCTTCTTCATTCGAAGGCGTTCTTTGGGCCTTCGACCTGAGCCAAACGGCTGGTGCCGGCGCATCACCACATGATCTTCCAACGTGGTGATGTGCTTTTCGTCAAAGCTCAAATAGTCAAATACCGATCCCTCAGATTTGCCACAGGAGTCTCCTGGAGATTTGGGAAGAATTCCTGTTGGCGTTGCTAGGCGTTCCAAGGAAAGATCCGCCCTCAAAGATCACATCTGTGAGTTTGCCAAACTCAGACCACTTCATGCTGTGAAGTATATGTTTCATGAAAGTGTAACCTTGTGGCCATCACGGCCCAATATGCCACTGAAGTGGCGGGACTCGATCGATGCAAGCCAATGGCGCTGCAAAAGGGTGCGTGACTTCGTGAGCAAGCACTTCAGGTTGTGAAACTTCGTTTGTTCACTTCCCCACTTGGTCCTTCTACCTCCGGTACCAGTGTCCAAGTGACATTGGTAGCGGAGCCGCCGATCACAGGCGGCTCCCTGCCACTCCGCTACAACTACTTCATTGTCCCCTTCCACGCCCACCTCACTGACAACGGAAACTTCACCCACAACCTTGCTTCCCTCTTCATAGACAGGAGCAGTTCTCTCAACCGAGCTCTTTCTTGCTGACGAGCGCTACCTTGCTCATTGAAGAGCTCTATCTTGCTTGCAGTGGTTTCTGAGCGCTACCTCCTTGAGTATGTCCTCAGAAAAGAAGGCCGAACTTGACACTTTCTCGGCCAGAGACAGTTTCATCCCGCTGTTCGACGGCTCCTTGACTGGATATCGCGAATGGCGGAAGAGGATCTTGATCTACTACAAGAAAATGACCTTGTCGAAACGACAAGGAGAGGCCATCCTGAACCTACTGGGCAGTCTGTCCGGTGTTGCTTGGAAGTTGTGTGAGGACTTCAACCTGGACAAGGCCGAAGATTCCGGCGCCCTCGAAGAAATACTGAAGACACTCGATGCCTCGTTTCAGTACGACGCCAATGTGGAGATGCCGGCCGACTTTGCCTCGTACTTCGAGCACCTGTCCAGAAAACCAGGTCAAACACTCCTCAACTTCGTCACGGACCACGACGACCGCTTGAAGCAGATCGAGAAGCATGGAGTGAAGCTCCCAAGCCAGATTCAAGGCTGGTTTCTTCTGGCCAAAGCAGCACTCACCCGAGAACAACGACAGATGATCATGACCCAGGCTGCTTCCTTGGACCGTGCCAAGATCCAACAGGCGATGTTTGCCATCCTGGGCCAAGACTACAAGGGTGGAGGTCAGATGCTGCGAGACCGCTGGAACCGAGCTTCATCTGGAAAAGGCCGCTCCTACTATGCAGGTGATGATGAAGAAGCAAACTATGAATGGGATGAAGCCTTCTACGAGGAGGATGATGCCTACTACATGGACGAAGACGGCAACTATGATGACACCTGGTGGGAGACCTTCGACTCCGACGCCGTCTACTATCAGGACGACGGCGATGAAGCTGAGCAAGAATTGAATTCGACACTGAAGAATTTGATGAAGCCTATGCCTCCTATGTTGATGCCCGCAAGAGGTTCAATGACCTGAAGCTCAGCAGAGGATTCCTCCCTGTGGTTGCCCTCCAAGATTCTGCTGCCTCCTCAAGCTCGACGACCTCTCAGCAGAAGCCCTATAAGGGCATGGGAAAAGGGAGAAAAGGAAAAGGCAAGGGCAAGGGGAAAAGTTCCACCTACCGATTTGATCGCCCTCCTGCCAAACAACCTGATCCAAAAGGAAGAGCCAAATCAGCTTTGGCACCTGCTTGTATGAGATGCGGCTCGACATCGCACAAGACCGCACAGTGCACTCAATCAGGAGCTCCAAAGCCTGCCAACACCTCCACTGGCAAGCGCCAAGCTGTTGAAGGCATGGCCATTCTTAGCGATGAGACCACTTTGGTGATGCTTGAAGATGCAGCTGGCCATGAACGACCTGATTGTGCAATGATTGACCCTGGCGCTTCGTCCTTCCTGATGGGATCAGGTCCCTTGATTCGATACATCCAGCACCTGAAGCAGTTGGGTTACGACACTTCGCAACTCAAGCTCCAGCGCTGCCAACGGACGTTCCACTTTGGCGGCGATCACCAAAAAGTCAGCACTTGGGCTGCAACAGTTCCGGTCTACCTGAACGGCACCCACGGACTCCTCCAAGGATTTGTCCTGAAAGGTGAAACTCCCATGCTGATCGGCAGGCCCATCATCAAGGCTCTTGACATGTCGATCGACTTTGCTCGCCAGCAACTCAAGTTTGGTGACAACGACTGGCAAGCCGCCGTCCTTGGCCGCCATGAAGAATACTTATTGGACCTCACCGCGACCTTTGAGACGGAACAGCTTGCGTGGGAGCCTTCCTTCGACCTCCAGCTAGATGAGACCCTCGGTGAATATGGCACCTTTGAAGAATTCCTCACTGAAGAACACCTCTACCAGGTCGAAGAAGAGTTGCCACCCGAGGAGACAAGCCCTATGACGGCCAAGCACTGGAAAACCTTGGTCATGTTGACCCAAGCTCAGCTGAACACCACGAATGCCTTCGTTGACCAAACCCTGAAGGAAGAAGCCGCTCCACGACCTCGAGCACTCTGGGAAGTCTACACTGGCCGGGCCCGACTTTCGAAGATTGCAGAAGCAGTTGGCATGACCACCAAGACGTTCGGCTTCGAGACAGGATGGAACTTCGCGCTTCAGTCCCACCAGCGCGCCTTCCTGAACCTCATGGATGAAGAGATGCCGGACGAAGTCTTCTTATCGCCTAGCTGCGGCCCCTGGTCCAGAATGCAGAACATCTCAGCCAACTCCCAGCCGAGACAAGAAATCCTCCGAGGCCTTCGTGAATGGCACCATCGAACTCACCTTCAATTTTGCAAGAAGGTGTACCTGAAGCAGCTCCACTCCGGAAGACATGGACACATCGAGCAACCCACTTCGGCTCTTTCTTGGGAAACTTCAGCATTGCAGTCGCTTCCTGGCCTCCGTGCTCGACATCATCAGTGTCAATATGGAGCAGTTTGCATGGATGTCACCGGCACTTGGAAGCCTGCCAAGAAGGACACTACCATTCTGACCACCAAGCGTGCTGTTGCTGAGTCCATGTCTCGTCTTTGCCCAGGAGATCACGAGCATTGCCGCCTTGAAGGGCACATGAAAGGACATGGCACACATCGCACTTCCTTCATGGAGGACTACCAGCCAGCATTTGCCGCGACCTTGGCAACTGCTCTTGCTAGCTCTGAGCGACCTCAGACTTGGGAGGATTCCTATGTCGTCCGGGAGCACACCAAGTACTTGGGAAAGATCGTTGACCTACATGCTGAAGGCAAACAGAATGCCCTCAGAGTCATCCAGAAGCTCCATCGGAACCTTGGACATCCTTCAGCCCAAGCACTAGTTGACCTCCTTCAAGCCAGAGGCGCCTCGAAAGATGTGTTGGCTGTGGCTGAAAACTACTTGTGCAGTTCATGCCTTCGATACAAGAAGCCGAACCAACCGGCTCCAGCTACGACCAACAAGGCCGAGCGCTTCAACCAGACAATCCAGGCTGATGTGTTCTGGGTTCGCACTGACAAGAAGAAGTGGCCCATCCTTGCTGTCCTTGATTGCGCCACTAAGTACCAAGTCGCATGCCAGATCCAGTCAGAGCAGACGCAGGACTACATCCAGTCCCTTGAGCGACACTGGATTGCACACTTCGGCCCTCCAGAGGAGCTTATCACCGACGAAGGACGTGGCTGGTTGAGCAATGAGTTCATGAACTGGTCCGATGAGCATAGCATCAGCCACAAAGTAGCTCCTGGCGAGGCTCATGAACGCCTTGGTCAAGTGGAAAGGCGACACTCTGTCCTTCGCAAGGCCATTGAAGTGTACATGCACGACTTGCAGCTGGAAGGTCGAGATGGTATTCGACAAGCCCTGACCTACATCCTTCCTCAGATAAATGCTCAGCCGACTGTCGCTGGCTTCTCTCCGACTCAATGGGTCCTTGGATATCAACCAGCTCAACCTGGTCTCTTGCACTCCGGTTCCTGTGCACTACATGGTCATGAGGATTTTGAGAAGCACCTTCATCAACGCAATGTGGCAAAGACTGCAATCCTCCAGGCCGAGACCGACAGGAAACTGAGGCGCGCCCTCCTGAGGCGCTATGCAGGAGTCAATCAAAGGCTCCTGGCTGGTCAGCGATGCTTCTACTGGCGAGATGCTCAGCAACATGAACTCTGCAAGATTCGCTGGCGAGGACCTGCAAAAGTCGTTTGTGTCGAAGAAAAAGATGGCAGTCCTCATGTCTACTGGTTGGCGCACAAGACACAGTTGATTCGAGCAGCTCCTCACCACGTCAGACCGGACTTCACCTCCATTGAGGACACGGCAGTTGAAAACCTTAAGGATGCCACCTCAACTTTGCAAGCATTGAAGTCCCGTGGTGTGACTCGCTACGTCGACCTCAACAAGGCCAACAAGCAGGACCTCTTCGACGTTG